CGTGCTAGTGAGAGCTCTGTAGCACACAGTGTATGGTGGGTTCTTTATTTGTAGAGCATTTAGATGATCTTGCTCTTATCTTAAGGACTGAAGTTGAGATTGTATTGTTCTTTTTTTGAACTATATTCATCTAATTTATCTAATTATTTTATTATAATTGTACATTACTTAAGAAACAGATATTTACATGGAAGTTTAGTGCATTTGATGTGGTGTTACACGCAATCAAGTGCTAAAAATAATATGCTATGTGAAAGTCTTTTAAAGGAGTATTGACTATAATTTGATAATCCTCCATTGTAAACTGTTTGTTATATTATTATAGAGCCTAATGGTTAAAATTCTTTAACCATTTGAAAATGTTTTTAGTGGCAAATTAAGTATGGAATTACAGGGACCCAAAAGAGGCTAGACACAAAAATAAAAGTTGAAGAATATTTATTCATTAGTGTAACAATTTTCAGTCAGAAGGCTTTATACATAGTAGTTAAAGTTATGAACTGTGAATCAGGCAGACCAGGAGTTGAGTCCAGCTCTACAACTTAATAGCTACATAAACTCAGACAAGTCAACTCAGCTACTCTTTTTTTGTTGTTTGTCTATAAGAAGGAGATATAATCGTACCTACTTCTTAGGAATTGTTGTAAAGAGTCAGTGAGATGATGATGATGATAATAATAATAGTAGTAGCAAACACTCATATAGCCTTTACTGTGTGCCAGGCACTGACCAAAGCACAACCCATTTTTAAGTCATTAGATCCTCACAGTGGATACTGTTATATCTGGCATTAACTGTTAGGAAATAATACCAACAAGAACTACCATCAAGAGGTCAGTGTGTCCTTAACCACATTCTAGTGACAATAAGAATGCATTGAAGATGTTACCATTTTATATTGAAATTTAAATTCATATTGTGTGTTAGAAATTATATTTAAAGATTTTAAAAACTATTTACCTTTTCTGTTTTCCTTTATCTTTGCTTTCTTGAAATTTTATTGTTTTAATTAAAACTCAGAATGAAGAGGTGATGATCACCTGTGATTAAGAATATACCACTCTTTAGACAAACCGTATTTTATTATATTTTTTAGCCAAAAGTTAAACAGTAGAGCAGTATGGAGATAGATGGGCAGACAGTTGAGATAACTGACACTCTCATTGGCTACTAGAATTTATCGAGGGCCTGCTTTAGTCTCTATGCTTTTGGGGTTGGCACTCTATTTTTAAAATTAGCTCTGCAGATCCACAAATGGATAGGCCCAGAAACACAGGAAGTTTGCCTATTATCTGAGTTAATGATAATCAATATAAGCAATTTTTACTGCTTTTTCTCTTACCTACGTGACGTAAAGCAGAAAACAGTGAGAAGCCTTGGAAAATAGTTATTGGTATTTTTTCCATCTTAGCCAATAAAATGTATTGCCTTTTTGGATTTTTCAAGTTTTACACCATGTATTCAAAACATGCTTTGGGAAAATTCACAAGATAACTATAAAGTACATGCAGTCTCTCTGTTTTGTATATTTGACTTACAGTCTTCTGTACCACAATGGCAGCTTATACTGGGGGACAGGAGGGAGTTTTGCTAGAGTCCTAGAAAGTGATAGGTATTCTTGAAGAGTACTTTGGGCTACAGTTGACTCAGGCAAAATAAAACACCTGTAGCTAGGGTAAAAAGAACTTAGTGAAAACTATGAAGCATGCCAACAAATATTTGAACCATAATGCATATATGTCTTAAAGCCCAATTGTTGGAAAATTTTCAAACCCAAAATACTCTAAATGTAAATGTGTTAAATATATGATCTAGGGTTAACTGAGCAACCTACAACAACTAACAAAATTGATAATGATACAGCTAAACTACTGTATTGTATCATTAAAAGGCAAGAATAGCACTAACATAAACCGTGGCCAACTCAAGATTCTAAAAAAGCATTAAAATCTCCCTTCACAAAATGGTAGGAATTTCAACTCTCCATGCATGTCCGGGAATGGTGAGAGCTTTGCAATAAGCTAGACCTTACTGGTGGCCAGATCTAGTGGAATACAGAATTGATTAATCTTCAGCTGTGTTCTAGCTGTGTTAATTTTAGCTTATGGCATATAAATGAGTTTATATACCATACCAACTTTAAATGACTTTAGTAAGTCATTTAGTAGGTTACTAATAAGGAGCCCTTGAAAGTAAAAATGAAAGTTAATATCATTGTGCATCATTTGCCAATAAGATTCCTCATTCAAAAAAATATATACACACACACACATATATTTGCATCTTACTATAAATATATATACACACACACACACATATATATACATGCACACATACACACGCATATTAGCATTTTACTCTCAGTTAAAGGCTCATCAGGAAACCCTTGTTTCAACTATGGACTAACCTTTGAGGAACATTACCTTTACCCACACACACAAATTCAGAATTTACTCTGTTCATAGTGTGGCTGGAGTACAAGGAATTCCCCATGTTTCCATATCCATCTACTTAATAAGTTTTCCCTTTGATTCATCAATTCCACCCCTACTAATATATCTGACAAGTATATTTAAGGAATGACCAAAGACATATTTACAAAAAAATTTATTATGACATTGTTGCTAATGCTTAAAAACTGGAAACAGGCCAGCCCAGTGGCGTAGTGGTTAGGTTTGTGTGCTCTGCTTCGGCAGCCCCGGGTTTGTGGGTTCAGATCCCGGCACGGACCTACACACTGCTCATCAAGCCATGCTGTGGCAGCGTTCCACTTACAAAATAGAGAAGGATTGGCACAAATGTTAGCTCAGTTACAATCTTCCTCAAGCAAAAAAAGAAAGATTGGCAGCAGATGTTAGCTCAGGGCCAATCTTCCTCACCCAAAAAAAAAAAAACTGGAAACAAACTGAATTTTATCAATAGGTGATTGGTTAAATTATATCTGTACAGTGAAATGGAGGAAAATGAGAAAGCTCCACATGTACTGACATAGAAAGGTTTCCAAGATATGTTATTAAGTGCCAAAAAACTAAGTGGCAAAACTGTATAATGTGATCCCATATGTGTGTATTTAAATATACCTACATATATTTACATATAGGACTCATATTAAATATAAGATATCTAGTGTATAAGGTGAGGTCTGTGTTACAATTAAATAGGATAAGGTATATTAAATGGTTAGTGTCATGCCTACTAGTGCCTAAATTAATAAATTTTGCTGTTAGTGTTACCTTTAAAGAATGAGGTAAGAAAGGAAAAATTAGGGGGCTTTTACTAATTTTACATATTTTTTATTGTCTGAATTTTTTTCACAGTGAACATGTATTACTTTTATAATAAAATTAGAAAATGGTTTGCTCTTGGGAAAAGATCTGGAAAAATGTATTCACATTAAAGTATTAATGACACAACAAGACTCGATATTTTTCTTCTGACACAAGATATCAAAGAATTCCTAATGTGGGCATAAGGGTAACTGCAGTACTTTTTTAGACAGAGGGGTCTTCCCAAGGTTTATAAAAACAGTTTTGGGGATTTGGGTTATTTGTTCTCACCTGGATATGTCCATCCATACTTTTGATTGTATTTCTTCCTTTATGTTCTCAGGGGTGTGTGTGTGTATTTATATGGGGAGGGGGCTGTGTGTGTATATTGTTTAAGCACTTACATGATTATCTTCTTTCAAGAATGGTTGGAAAATTTAAGGAAGAAATGGAAAAAGTAACTGGAAGTAATTATTGCATAGTTATCTAAACAAAGGAAAGCTTCTTTTTCCTTCCTTCTTCTCAATCTTATCTTAGCAAGTAAGAATCACCCTGCAAATACTTGAAAAGTGGTATTCCAGTGACCATACCCAATGAGACACTAAATAATTTATACCCTTAGAGTGATTATTACAAGGACTCTGAAGGAAAATGTTAACTATACCATATTATTTGTTTTAGAGATTTTTATTCCCAACTTTTACTCATGGTTCTATGAGCTGTAGTAATTCAGTAATTATATATCTTTATAATGCTGGCATTAAATTTTATTGAAGCTCCTCTAAAAATATGGAAAAGGTTCCCATTTGAAAACTTCTAAATGTCCGTTATTTTTCTCAGAATGACAGACTTACATAAAAACATTACTTAAATCATGCCTTAATTATGTAGAAATTTAGCTAAATTGGTTGATTAATATGAAAGGCATGGGCTTAATTGACAACTTGAAAATACTTTTCTTATGGTAAATTTGATGATGTATTGCTATTTTATTAGGAGAGATGGACTCTTTTCTTACATTATAATACTTTAAAGATTTGAAGCCCAAATTATTCAGAAGCAGTATCATATAGAATAAGCTCATTACAGTTGGGGAGGATGTTTAATGTAGTGTTTAAGAGCACAGAATATGGAACCAGACCACTAGGGTTCAAATCCTAGCCCCGCAGCTTTCTAGCTGAATGATCTTAGACAAGTTCCTTGTGTCTTGGTTTCCACTTCTGTAAAACAGAGATATAAGTAGTAAATGATAGATAGATACTATATTTCATAGGGTTGCTATACAATTGTGGTAAGAATTAAGTGAATTACTATTTATAAAATACTTGTACATATGGTAAGTACAGTCAGTCCTCTGTATCAGCGAGTTTCACGTCCACAGATATGGAAGGCTGACTGTATTTATTGTACTACATCAATTTATAAAAGGGACTTGAGCATCCATGGATTTTGGTATCTGCAGGAGTTCCTGCAACCAGCCCCCCGCGGATACCAAGGGACAACTGTATTCAATAAGTGTACTACTATTATTTGCCATTTTGGCCATCTGTTATCTAGTAAGTCCTGTGTGTATATTGTCAAATAAATTAGTTGCTTACATATTATGGTCCAAAATAAAATATTATTGAATTATAATCTATTTTAACTACTTTTTAAAATTTCTATTTTACTGAAGTGTAAAACTGATTTTTACACTAGTTGATTTTGATTATTTGTTTCTTGTTTGTGTTACAGTTACAAATTATAATACTGTGGTAGAAACAAATTCAGATTCAGATGATGAAGACAAACTCCATATTGTGGAAGAAGACAGTATTACAGATGCAGCAGATTGTGAAGGTGGTGTGCCAGAAGATGACCTGCCAACAGACCAGACAGTGTTACCGGGGAGCAGTGAAAGAGAAGGGAATGCTAAAAGCTGCTGGGAGGGTGATGGTGAGTTTAATTTTTTTTTTTGTAATATTCTATTCTCTTGATTCTTTTTAAAATATATGTATTAACTGAAAAGATAAATTGGATGAAAAGTTTGAAATGATCAGTCAATTTGTCTGTTAATCAATAGAAGGTGCCCTTCTACTTACCAAAAAGTAGAAGGGCATAATAAAGGTATAATAAAGTTATTTTGAATATTTGTACAAGGCATATAATATATTGAATTTTAGTAGTTGTTTTAACCAGATGAACTTTCCATAATCTGTTGATATAATTGAACCTACCTTTAATTTCATATTGTGACCTCAAAGGAAGAATCTACTTAGAAACCAACAAATTATATTTTGGTACAATAAAATGAGAACATAATTCAATGTGCAGAAATCCCAAACACAGGTAAACCATGGGAATATTTTTAGTGTTTGTAAGTCTCTCTTTATATATATATATATATATATATATATATATATATATATATATATAT